GGCTGGCTGGCATGTGGTGCTGGAGGATCGAACCAAGGTCCCTGTGCTTTGCCAAGCTTGTTTCAAGTAGGTGCTTTAGACCACTGAGCCATCTCTCCAGCCCTGTCACCTTTATTACTAATAAAATGGATACTGGAGAATGTTGCTGCCTTATTTTTGTACCAGCAAGAGCTTTGAACCACTGCTAACTTTCCCATGGGGCAGGGCCTCTGCTATTAGGCTTAGAGCAGTGATGTTCGAGGAGGTAAGCAAAACATGCTCAAGGGAGGTGAAGGAACAGCTGGACACACCACAGAATGTTCCCTTTAATGTAATTTGTAAGTACTATGGCCTAATTTATGAGAACACTGAAGGAGAAGGAAACTAATAATGTTGTCTTAGTTACTTTTCTCTTGTTGCTGAGGCAAAATGCCCAACACCCAAGGCCAAAGGAGGATAGGTCTGTTTAGTCTGTTTGTGGAGGTTTCAGTCTGTAATCAGCTGGCTCCATGGAAGGGTGTCCCTCTTAGGGACAAACTGCCTGACTCACCAGGCCTTCTTCTGAAATTTGGGTGGAAGCCTTTCTGCCCCCACAATTCTTGTATACTTCATGTGCCTAAAACCAGCACCACATGCACGATACCAGGGTCTGCTACCAGCTAGAACAGTAGCCGAGCTTCCTTCTCGCTTAGCTAAAGGGTCAAGTCCCTGAATCACTGAGTACTGTGAATCCAATTTTAAGTAAGATCCTCTTAAGTGGCCACCATTCTGGAACATCGCACTCTGGGGCTTTCTTCTTAGGCTTTCACTCTGCAGTCTTGAGCCTGCAAAGGATGGAGTCCTGCTGCTTTTTATTATGTCACCAGCCTATCTTTTTTTTCTTGTTCCTTCTCAGCAATCAAGATCTCTTCTGTTCTGTCTTTGTAGTCCACAGCTTTACTGGAGTTTACTTTTTTAGCCAAACTCACGTTTTAAAGCATTCTGCTGGCTTTGCTCTTGATTCTCAATATAAATCTGGCAACAGCCCCCAAGAGCAGCTTTCACACACTCAACAGTAGACTTTCCTGACGTTTCTTTTTTCTTTTCAGTGTATTTGGTACAGGGTCTCACTACACAGCTTGGACTCACAGTGATCCTCCTGTTTTCAGCCTCCCCAGCACTGGGATTACAGGCATGCACCACCACACCCCATTTTGGTGGCTGGCTTAGCATGCCCGGGGGCAGGGCTAGCACAGCATATGGTGCCAGGGAAGGAGCCCCAGTCCCTGAGCTTGCCTAGGCAGGTGCTTAGTCCACTGAGCTATCTCGCTGGCCCTTTTTGTTCTGCAGATTAATTGGTCTGCCACGCTTAATCTTAGTCTTGGGACATGAGCAAAATGCATGCAAACTTTCTTCCAAGACATCACACATTATCTGGAGTTCAGTAGTCAATGCAGTCCTTCCCATCAGAAACCTGAGCCTGGTCTTTTTTTTTTTTTTAATGGTCAGCTCAGCCCTCCCTGGGGGCAGGGCTGGCATGGTATGTGGTGCTGGGGATCGAACCAAGCCCCTGCATGCTTGCCTAAGCTTGCCTGAACAGGCACTTTAGACCACTGAGCTATCTCACCAGCCCCTGAGCCTGGTCTTTAGCAGATTTCCTATCAGCTTTCTGAGCTCTGATCAGAATCTCCCATATAGCAGAGCCCAAGATGCTCCAGCTCTATTTCTTCAGCTGACCTCTTCAAAGTTTTTCAAACTCTTCCCACAAGCCGTTCTCAGACTCCTGAACCACATGGTCAGACATACCACAGCAAGGGCCACATTTCTCTGGTACCAAATTCTTTTTTCCTGTTGCTGAAACAACATATACCCAACACCCAAAGTTACAGTGTACAACTGGCTGATTCCAAGGAAGGGTGGCACATGGCAGAGGGACAACCATACAGGACAGTGTAAAACAACAGAAGCAATGAGAAAGAGGAGGAAAAGCTGTTCAGTCCCTTATATTGGGTGCAGGCCACCTGCCCTAGGGTGGGTGTTGCACTCACAGCCTTAATCCCAGCATTGGATCATGAAGGGTCACGAGTCAGTCACACACTAGATCCAGCCACCTCCAAAAACCTGTGACCTCATGAGGCTTTTGGGGAGTCATCTAGACACAAATCATAACAATGATAAAGGCGGCCCTCTTTGAGTGTATTAATACAAGGCAAGCATGATGTATAATTTATGAATTTTATATGTATGTATGTATATGAAATTCAACATGGAAAAATCTCTAAGTGTTAAGTCAGTTGCAAAAAGATGTATAATACAGTTCATGCAAGATATTCAAGCACACACACAAGAATACAGAAACATTATAAATAAAAAACTGCTTTTAGGGTAGTTATTGACTCTAGGAATTAAGGGTGAGGATCAGAAAAGAATCTATGGCTGGACGTGATGGCACATGCCTAAAATTCCCAGCACTCAGGCTGAGGCAAAAGGGTCATTGCGAGTTTGAGACAAGCCTGGGCTACACAGTAAGCTCAAGGCCATCCTAAACTGCATAGTGAGACCCTGTCTCAAAAAACCATATCTATGAATTTAAAATAAAGAAAGCCCTTAAAGTAAAAGACAGTCAATGATCAAGTATAGGAATTAGCCAAGTATAGGAATTAGCAAACTTTTTTTTTTTTTTTTTTTTTTTTGAGAACTGGGATTGAACTCAGGCCCTTGCACTTGCCAGGCAAGCGCTTATTCTATTGAGCCATCTCCCCTGCCCCAGGAATTAGCAAATTCTTGATAAAGACCTAGGAAGCAAATGTTAGGCTTTGTTGCCTAAGGGGCAAATTGGTATGATGTGCTTTATTTGGGTTCACATTTAGTATACCTTATCATCAAAATTGATTCCAAAGTTTTCTTCAACTATTTAAAAATCACTCTTAGTTTGCAGGCCACCTGAAAATAGGCAATCTACTAGATTTGGACCATAGACTACAATTTATCTTCTGGCTTCAAGCAGCATTGTCTGATCAGACTTTTTCCTTTTATTTGTATATAACTTGACATTTTATTTCCATCACAATACTTCAAAAACTGTTTTCTTTCCTACTTAAACCACAAAAGTGACCATTCTTATAGCTGAGGTTAGCAATGAAGGTGAAATTATTTTTTTTTCTTCTGTATTTTAGGAAAGGGTCTACAGGATATTCAGGGTCTCACTACTAGACCACTCAGTGATTTTCCTGTTTACAGCCTCCCAAGACCTGGGATTATAGGTGTGTGCCACCACGCCATCTCAAATCCAGTCTCAATCGCAGTCTCAGTGCTCCCTCGTGATTGAACCGCCAGCCCCTGTGCATGCTTGTAGGTGCTTTAATCCACTGAGCTATTTGGCCTGCCCATGCAGGTGGAATTAAGACAGGAAAATATGGCAACTGTAGTACTTGAACAGCAGAAATAAAAGTTCTGCCAGTACAGTAGACATCACAGGTTCACCTTCCTTTGCTCCATGTAATCCTGACATCTTATTTCTGAAGAACAGGACACTGTAGAATCACTTAGTGAGACCTGGGTTCTACAGAGAGGAAATTCTCTAAGAAAGCTAAAAGGGAGGACTGGAGATGTAGCTCAATGGCAAAGTGACAGCCCACCTTGGATGAGGCCTATCCTTAGCACCAGAACCAGCAAATACTCCCCCAAACAAAAACTCCAAAAACCTGCGGAGTCTCAGCTGTCAGCTAATACCACATAAGGATATAAAGTACATGATAAAGCTTTGCAGGAAAAAAAAAAAAAAACAACCAAAAACCTAATCACAAGAAATGATACCATCACTGCCACCACCACCCCATTTGAAATAGTAAGATTTCCTTTACAAATAACCAAATTAGGACAGCGTTCTTCCCATCTTTGTGATTCTGGGGATCAAAACCACAGCCTCCCAGATGCTAAGCACACAGTTACCACCAACCTACACCCTCAGCTCTTACAGGGATCTAATGTCATTTGACCCTGGGAAAACCCAAGAAGTTCAACTATTTCAAAAATGTACAAAACAGACTTCTTCATATTCTGTAGGGACTTAATGTTTAACATATCAATACTGGATGAAAAATAACTGTTCCATGTTATGCCTAAGATGTTTGATATTCAGACAGATAGTGAAGTTAAACCCAACTGCATAAGATGTAGGGTAATAATAAGCTTCTCTTCTGGAGGGTTAACAACCTAAGATTGCAGACCAAAAATTAGAGAAA